TACCTGAAACAATAACTAAAAACCGTAAGCACGAAGCTTAGTGAGTTCCCCCAACGTACCGCATACCAAATAACCAAATAACATACAAATATTATCAGGCATATCTGGGTGCCCGACCTGCCCCTTCGGTCCTCTCGACCGGATAATGACTAGCATATCTGGGTGCTGGTCTCCCCTTCGGTCCTTTCGACCGGATACTGACTAGCAAATCTGGGTGCTGGTCTCCCCTTCGGTCCTTCAACCGGATACTGGGGACTATTTCACCCCTACCACTACCACATAACACGTATCACATAATCTATTTAGCATGGTTGGGCATGCAACTCGTCGAGTCCATGGCAATCTCCATCAGACTTGCCGAGTTGCTCATCCAACTCGCCGAGTCCACGGCTATCTTCATAGGGCTCGCCGAGTCCATCATTCTACTCGCCGAGTACATCCAGTACTTTTTACATACAGACCTAATTTGAGCCATGCAGCGACTCCAAACCACAGATCCAAGCTTCTAGGGCATGCTTATCACATAAAGTTGCAAACTTTACGTGCATGCATAGCTTTAGAGGCTTCAAATGCCCAAACTAAGCTCTTAATGGGTTCTAAGCTCAAAAGGGACCTTAATCACCATTATGACTGAAACTTAACACTTCAAGGAGGTAATGAGAGTCCAGATCTGAAGTATAACCCAACCATAAGGTTTCTCTTCAAGGATTTGGGGTTTTAGGGCTTAAAAGCAACAATTTAGGGACAAACAAGATCTAATAGATAAATAACCAAGATGGAAACTTTATTACCAGAATGGATGACCACAAATGAATGTATCCTGGATCTAAATCCCCTTCCTTGACCTCTTCAACTTTTCCCTTCTTCCACTTGCTCCAAAGTGCACCAAAAGTCCCTTCACAAGGCAACAAATCACTCAAACTCACCAATGGAGGCTAGGGTTTCGATAAGGATTGCTCTGAGGGTGATGGGGGCTGAGATGGGGCTGTAAGGGCATTTAAATAGAGTGCAAACCCTGGTTTGCACGTAAAGGTTCCATTTTTACGTGCATATACACTCCTAAAGAGGTTATAGGCTTAAAATGCATGAATAAGGCTAGATCTAGGGTTTATATGCAACAAGGTTCAATAAAGGTATTAGATCTGGGTTTTGGGATAGAAATATGATTAGATCTGAAAGCTATAACACTTACACAAGCTCCCATACTATATTAAGCTCACAAATGGGCAAAAAGGTAACCTAAATGAGATTCTTGAAGAAAAACAACCAAAGAACAGAAAGAGTCCGATTAATACCTCAAATGACTCTAAAATGGATGCAAGATCTTGTTCCCCTTCTTCTCCTTTGGATCTAGCCTTCCTCCTTTCTTCCAATCTTCACTTCTTACACAAAAATGCCCAAAAACACTCAAGATAGGTTAGGGTATGGCTATGAAACGTTCTGTGGGTGAGGGAGACCGGATTGGGTGCATAAGGGGGATTATATACGGTGCAAAACCCGTGGATCTAGGGTTTCTTCCAGGCTGGCGGACTCACCAAGTCCAGGATATGGGCTCGTCGAGTCGCCCACTTACACGTGCTGGAAATCCCGTCTCTACTCGATGAGTCGGGCAACAGACTCGTCGAGTCCCTCTTGAATACTTAGAAAAATAACCATTAAATAACATACCAGAACTGGGGTCGTTACACCTTATTACTGCCCCGGTGTCCACTTGGTTCTTATTTTTTTATTTTCACTGCCTCATATCTATTGATTCTTCTTCTCTGATTCTACCGTCTATTCTAAACTCATTGGATTCAAAGCAAGAAAGGGGAAAAAAAGGTATTTGGTTGAAGGAAATCCAGAGATATAGAGGGCATAAATCAAACTGACGGGGTTCTCGCTTCTCCTCAATCTCCCAAATGCTTCCGACCACCTCTTCCACTAGCACATTCTTCCTCTTTCATTATTCGCAATCCTTATCGAATTCCATCTAATTTCAGTTCAATAAAGCAGTTTCTCACTTTCAGGCCCTTCTTATCAGTGAGAGAGATGAACAAAAGTAGGTAGCTCGACTTCTGGCTGAAGATTTTTCTTTCCGTTCTCTAAAATTGGGTGTTGTCATACCGTTTTTCCCACTTATCTGCTCTTCATTGCATTCTTTTAAAGGTTTTGTTGTTTAATTTTTGTTTCTATTGTGTTGTATGCTTTGTTTGGTTTAGGGTTCTTTCGGGTTTTCCTATGATGATTTGATTATTGTATGTAGTTGTTTTGTTTGTTTTCTTTGCGTTGGTTTCTACTTTTTGATTACTATTGGTAGTTTTCGAATTTTTGTTTCTATTCGTCGATTTTGAGGTTTATTTAAGGCTTAATTTGGATTTTTCCAAAAGCCTATAGCTTAGAAGATGTAATGTTGTTTCTGCACAACTAACAAAGCTTATGTTTTTTGTTTTTCAGTATTTGAATACCATTCTAGATGAAGTAAAGAATTTGAAAGTTGTTGTCTCCCTTATAAATTGTTAGTCCAGTAAGAAATCCAAAAAGATGAGGCAAATGGGGAAAAGATGTCTGATCTGAAATTCATTCCTGCTTTTTTTAAGATATAGTTATCCACTCCTGCTCATAGACAAAAAAAATGAGGACTCAAGAAATCGAGGAGCTGTTTCATGTGGTCGGATGCTTCCTTCAAAAAGGGGTAAAATAGTCGATTATCAACTATATGTTTTTATATAATGTGTATACATTATAATACTTTTTTTCTTTGATTACAGTTTTGAGGAAATGCCAACAAAGAATTACGTTGAAAGCATGTAGCTTTATTATTCTTCAGTTTAGTTACTTTAGGGGTATATTTGTCAACTTTTGCCAACAAATTATTTTCCAATAGTTTTACTGACCTTTATAAACCATAAACTGAAGTTGATGGAAAGCTTGTGGGGCAACTATTTGGCTATTAAATATGACCCTTAAAATGGGAGTTGATGGTTGGTTTTTGAGTTTTGAAAAGGTCAGAACTCCCCCTATTGAAATCGGAATTGATAATCGATATCAGCGTTCAAGGTTGGGCCTTCATATTTTCAAGGTATCTTGGCATCTTCTTTTAGTTTTAAATTCCAACCACTATTATTGCTAGTTAACATATATGTCCTTATATTTTTTGGCAGTCCAGATGCATCCTAATATAATACACATGCCTTTGTTTGTTGCAAATCTGAAAATGGTTAAAATGTTAAACACATGTAACTAACAAAGCTTATGTTTTTTGTTTTTCAGATTTGGCCACTTCCCACCCTTCTTCACTGATTCTAATCCATCACTACACTCTGTGTTTTGAATCCTGGGGTAAAATCTTCCATGGATGTTATATCTTCTATTAGACTTAGTTGTTGGTGTATGTTTCAATATGTTACCATCTTCTATCAGCACGGAATTACATAGAAAAACAACAAAAAACCACCAGTTAGTAATTCTTATTAGTTTCTTATGTTTATTAGTTTTTTTTATATGTTGATAAAAGTAATGTGGTTTTATATAATTCTGACTATTTTCTATTCCCAAAAAGCTATGAAAAAAAGAGTTTTCAGTTTCGTTTTTTCACAATATATTATTCAATATATAACTTAAATGGTGAAAAGGGTTAAAAAGTTTGACTTTGGTTAGTTGTTGGTAGCCTCCTCTACTTCAAAGAAATTGAAATTCGGTAGATAGTATCAATTAGGCTACAAAAAGGTGCAATGTGTAAGAAGTGCAACTTTATTTCCATATCTAGATTTTTTTTCACATTTCCTTATTGATTCTTGATTAAAGTGTTTGTCCCTATGTAATCTCCCAGAAGTGACAAAATGGTCAAAACCAATCTTTTATATCAGTGTTTTCTGATTTGGCTATGTTACTTGCTGAGCTGGGTGTCTTGCTTAGTTTTCCTGATGTGGCAACAGATGTTCTAGAGGAATGTGCAAAGTTTGGTGCAGTTGAATCACTCAAGGTAGCATTGACTTTTTAATTTTTTTCTAATGTTTATTTTAGTTACTAACATAAGCATTGTACTTTATTACCCTTATGTAAATTATTATATATTAGTATGGTTGTTTTTGTATTGTAGGTTTGTGAAAAACATCCGCAAAGGTTAGCTTTGGTAAGATTTAAGAGCAAGCAAGATGCACGAAAGTTTATTGAATTCATGAATCGAAGATGGTAGTTTTTTTATTTTATAAATAATGTATGTATTTGGTCCTGAGTGTATTTTTTTTCATTTCCTTGATAGGCATTGTACTTTCAATATCTTTCCTACTATAGCATTGTACTTTTATTTTGGCATGCTTTGGTCAGGTTGGTCTTAGGGATGGACATTGCTTTAATGTTCACACTAATATGATTTTGCAGAAGTTGAATTGTGAGAATAAAGCTATCAAGACTTGGTATTTATATCCTTTGTATGTCCTATGTGGGATAACAGTAGTAAGAAGATTTGTTTCACTAAAATATTTGTCTTAATATCCCTTTGTAGAGACTTCGATGGCTTCTAATCCCAGCAAAGCGGGGAATCTTTACTAGTTCTATATTAAGGATAATTAATTAAACTCACACACACCCATACTACTTAGCATTTAGTGAAGGTTTTAGATTGTATGATATGTGATATGAAGGTATAGTCAAAGATTGGGAAAATGATACATATAACCATCAAACTTTCTTGGGTTTACCCTTTTAGTCACTAAATTTATTTAGTGGTTTTATGAGGGAGTCAATTGTGTTGCAACCTAACAATTTAGTCCCCTTCAGTTGTTATAGCTGGTAACCTTGCCACAACGTCCGAATTTGACACATCATCAATGACATGTCGCCATTGTATTTAACTCTTGTAGCTCAACGGTGTCGTTCAGGAATGTGAAATGTAAGTGGCACGTTCACACTATTCACCCGCCTCCGTATAAAGTGTTAAGCTTGTGCCCTTAAATGGCACAATTCATAACCTGGTGACCCCGACTGCACCATATACTTCGATACCAAATGAAGAAACAATGTCGTCACGATCATCTCAAGATCACAGTTGGTCACCCAACTACAATCAGCACATGGCTGAAAATGTGTCGAATGGAGTCACAAATGAACACCTGGCGATCAATCTACTACAGACACAGTTAGAAGTGTCGAGTGTGAGGGAAGAGATTGCAAACGACCTTCGTGAACTACGACGCAATCTCACTAGAGAGATGGACACCCTAAATCATGAAGTCGATGATGTTAAAGCAAGAAGGCAACTCGATCTATCTAACATGGTTGCTGATTTGAAGAATCATTCCTGATCATTGCAAGCTTCGTATGTGCAATCTGTTCTCGAAAAAAAGAAGTCGAAGAAAGTTAAATGGATCTTTGGGGTTTTGGGGTTTTTGTGGTTGCTGTTGTTGGGGTTTTAACCTACAGGTTTTATAAGTGACGGAAGCTTAGTAGGTTAAACATTTCAATCCTGGGTTTCTATTTTGTTTAGATTTGCATCTTCTATTTTGTGCTTATTATTAACAGGTTTTTGTGGTTGTCTAGTATGTAGTTACGTAGTGGTGGAAATAGTGTTATAAGTTCTTCAGTTCTTCAATACATGTAAAGATGCAGAAACTCATGAATGAAATGTTGATTATGTTAACTTGTTCCTGTTATAAAACGATTATTCTTATAAAATTTCATTTGCATTTGTAATGAAGAATTAGTAATTGTTTTGCTGATTTTGTTATTGGGAACACATGAAAAAGTGAAACGTTTAATACCATATTTGTTTGTGGGGACATGGGACAAAAGAGAAGATGCTGACATCCAGATTTGTCGTTGCCTATACCCAGAAATGGAAAACAATAAAAAGTGTATTTTTGTTGTATTTGTGAGGGACCCTATTTGTGATTGAATGGAAGAAATAAAATTGCCCTAATTGGTTAAGTCCAATAATAAATGTATGACTCAAATACCCCTACTGGATTTGGTGACATAATAAACATTGACTGAAATACCCTTACTAGGTTAATTCACATAATATAAATTGCCTCTAATACCCCTAATCCATTTATTAAAATAAAATTAAAAAAAAGACAGAAATACCCCTACTTCATTAACAAATTAAAATGACAGAAAGACCCATAAAGTAACTTCTTCAAATGACCAAAATAGCCCTACTATAATAAATACATGAAAAACCATATGCCCCTACCTTTGATACTAGCATGAAATACCTATATGCCTACTTTAATAAACTGTTTGCAATGATGAAAATACCCCTACCTAAATACTAGCATGAAACACCCATACACCTACTTTAATGAAATGTTTAGAATGACCAAAATACCCCTACCTGAATGCTAGCATGAAATACCCATAAGCCTACTGCATAAACTGTTTGAAATGACCAAAATACCCCTACCCGAATACTAGCATGAAATAACAAAAATACCCCTACCTGAATACTAGCATGAAATACTCATACGCCTACTTTAATGAACTGTTTAGAATGACCAAAATACCCCTACTGGGTTAATTCACATAATAGAAATTGCCTTTAATATCCCTGATCCGTTTATTAAATAAAACAAAAAAAAGACAGAAATACCCCTACCTAAATACTAACATTGTATTAACTAAGACAAATGACCTAAATACCCCTACTTTAATAAAAGCATGTCATACCATAAATTTTGGAATTAAACAAAGCATCCAAATATCGATGGTTAAGATACCTATAACATACATCCAAATAGAAAACACAAATTCGTTTGTTGAATCCAAATAACAAGAACACAATAACAAGTGTAATTAATCTAAGTCTATTGGCGATCCAACACTACTACCTTCACATGCAGCTCTTTTAGCAAGCTTTAGTTTAATAATTCTCTCTGACTTCTTTCTCCTCTTTGGTTGACACATAGTTTTCACTTGCCTAGGAACTTTATTAACCCCCACCTCTTGCTCAGATCCATTTTCCCAAATTACTTCATCATTTTGTGGCTCAACTCTATCACCCATCACAACATCTTCTCTACCTCCTTACATATTCACTGATTCTTGTGTTTGCCTGATTTTTTGTTTCTTTGTCACATTAGTATTAGGTAGCCTTTGCATTTGTGTGCAAGTGGTATTGTTGTTCCCTTTCTCTTTGCATATGCCACAAGAAACCTTTTTCTCTACCTTTGAAACGGTGTGTCTTCCAGACCTTTTCGAAATATCCCTTCTTCTTTTGATTGTTGGTCTACCTGGCATTCTTCTTTTTAAAGGAGGCAATGGAGGTGTAAAGGTTGGTGAAGGTTACATGTTCATCCCATTCATACCACTAATAGACTTTTTGTAAGTGTTTTGGTAGAAGGCTGCCAGGTACAATGGGTCTACATATGGCACATCAGGTGTTACGTTTAAAAACGCTAATGTAGCTACTGAATGATCACAACCATACCCATTTAGTTGCCATAACCTACAACTACATTCTTTTTTTGTCATATCGACAATGTATGACTCATCCATTTTCCTTGTTTCAAACTTCATACTCCCACAAGACACAACCTGTCAATGCCTACATAGAGTAATGCAATATTTAGAGTTGACAGTGGTAAGTAATGTGTGGAAAAAGTGTACATAACTTTGCTCATTTTGTAGAATATTCAATATTGTTATCATGTTTGGACAAACAGAATAACGATTCCATCCTTCACCTATATGTTTCATACTTAGCATCCTTTGCATTATATAAATACGAATGTCCTCCAATATGCTGATAATAGGCTTCTTCCTAGCATCCAAAATGACACTGTTAAAGCTCTCTGAAAAGCCATTCTCCACAGATTCACATGATGACTGGTGAACTCTAAAAAAAGCTAGAGACCAAGTGTTTGGATCTTTATCCATAAGATGGTTAATAGCTTTAGGGTTCAAGTTTTCAATATCTTTCATGACTGTCCTAAAATGTGCTTCAGTTGTTGCCTTGATTACTCTCCAAAACAAATTCTCAAACTTTGCTCCACCAAACCTCTTTCTAAAGTTAGCAAATATATGCCTGGCACACTGCCTATGTTCTGCTATTGGGAATACTTCATAGACTGCCTCAACTAAACCCTGCACATGTACCAATAATAGGAGGATTTAAAAATGTAAATATTTACTATACTACGTTAAACACTTTATAAACATACCTTGTGTTGATCATAAATTAAAGTCAACCCACTTCCATCATTCCAACATTGCAAATCTTCTGCAAGATTTTCAACGAACCATTTCCAATTCTCTTTGTTTTCCACACATACAACTGCACAAGCAATTGAGAATATTCCATTGTTAGCATCCCTACCAATAGCACACAACAACTCACCCTGACAATAGGTTTTCAACAAACAACCATCCAAGTTAATGATACGTCTACACCCTCCACTCCACCCTTCTTTGACTGTAGCGAAGCATATGTAAATGTTGCTGAAGTAATTCTTACCATCAGGCATTGTCTCCACATAAATTTTAACAGTGGATCCAGGATTTGATCTTTTAATTTCCTCACCGTAAGACCATATAGCATAATTTTTTGCAACCGTTCCTTCAAATAGACTCAATGCGTACTTCTTGGCTCTCCTACACTGACTCATACTTACAAAAATTCCAAAAGTGGTTTTGACCTCCTCTTTTAGTAATCTCACACTCATTTTCTGATTGTTGAAAAATTGTTGGGTAAAGTGGGTACCTATCCATCTATAAGTTACAATCGATCCGAATTTCAAATTCTTTGAACAATTGTGCTCACTAATAAGAGACTTAATTTGGAAAGACTTGTCATCACTCATCCATGACCCCCAAAGCCTAAATGTACATTTTTCATCACAACATTTTGCTAGCAACCGACTACTATCATTTTCCATAAAACATAATTGATAACCATTTACAACAGCATAGTTACAGAGCATGTGTTTCAATTGTTTAGGACTCTCAAACCTCATACCTAACACAGGTTCCTGCTCCTTCCAGTGAATTTTTTCATTAAAAATGTTTGGAATCTGAGGATAAACATGTTCATCATCATCCATGCCTTCTTCTAAAGGGCCACCCAAAGCTACATTCTCACCCATTTCAACATCATACCCATTAAACTTTTTGAATACATGAGGACTGCTATGGTTATCCTCGTCTACATCAGTGTCCACATCATCATCCCCATGGTCATCCTCATCTTCATTTTCATCCTAATCATCCAAATGGCCTGACCCAATTTCTTTAACTAGTCCGACACCATCAAGAACTTCTTCCACTATGTTATCAACAACCTCTTCTTTGTGTTCTTCCAACCATTCCTGCATGTTACTATTACCAAAATGGTCTATATACATAGGAAGTATAACACCACATTCATAGGCTATTGCTATGAAATCAGCATGATCCAAATCATTTGAAATTAACGTCAGACTCTAGTTGGCAGTAGTAGAGCTTCACATACTTGGTAAACCTTGATGGGTTTTATACAAACAATCCTATGTGTGCATGTAACCCTAGAGTTAGATCTATGTTATCACTATTAGTTATGCAACATTATGAACATGTGAAGAACCCTAACAAGCTTCTAGGGACTTTAAAATTCACAAATAAAGATGAAATACATACCTATTGTTGTTATATTGTAATAACAACTTACATCATGAATCTTCTTGTCTTTGAAAGCAAGTACCACAAGTGTAGTACCTCTAATGGCTCACAAACAAACCTAGCAACCAAGGATTACTATGGAGAGAGAAGGGAAGTGGAAAATTCAACTCTAAGCCTCTCTTGGAGTGCCTGCCTTGAAATCCAACCCTATAGGGGTTTATATAGGTGATAAGGAAGGTTTAGGATAAGGCAGGTGTATCACAGATAACCCTAATCCCTTAACTTCCTCCCTAAGGCTTCCAAGGCACCCTTAGAGCCCAAGGAAACCCTAGGAAACTCTAGATTTCGTTCCCCACCTCTAAGGGAGGTTCTAGAATGCTTTAATGCTCAACTTTTGAACACTATCACCTTTAGTCCCTACAGTTTCAATTAATTCCTTCAATCCTAAAATTAATTTCTGGTTAAATATTAATTAAACAATATGATTTCTAAACAATATATTATATCCATAATACATTAATAAATCATTTATCTTGATTTCAAATTAATTTATTAACCAAGTAATAAATTAATAAATCATTCTTCTCTCTCCAACAATTATCCTATTCCATTGCCAGGTTTGAAGGCAACACAAAAGGACCATGCACAACCAGGTTAAGTACTTACCAAATATGGTTATGGGTTAGACACTAATCCAACAAACCTTTCCATAAATTCATAACACCTGACGCAGTCCATGCCTGTGAAATCGATGTCTGACAACCTCTGAGTAATCCCCCCGGTGTAGGGTATAGGGTATTTTCCACATATTCCTTGGAAATGCACATCGACTTGGATGAATACGGGATCCATGTTTGATGTTTGAGGAGACAGAATGAAATTAAGGGTTTATTGAACGAGCTGGAAGGGGTGAATGGCCAACAGTATTTGACAACATATCTCATTTAAGTAAACCTGTAAAACTATTGGTAAATATCACTAAATGGCATGACATACACAATCAACAAAGCAAGGGCTATAATTAACACATGTGGCAGTAATATGACCAACTGAACCCTTCACAATTTACATAATGACAAAACGTGAATGGGGTTTTTTTGAATGGTTTCAAAACTTCGTTGGTCTTACAAATCATTTTCCCGATATTTAATTCCATGTCATAAGCCATGTCATTCGTTGCTTTCATTAACCGGATGACCCTAATGAGAAATGAACAAAAGTGTAAGTTAGTTGGGCTTTTTTTAAACAAAATGTTAAGTTCCTTGAGTTTTCTTGAACAGACAAAATATAATTGGAGTTTTTTGAATGGTTTGGAAACTTCGTTAGTCTTATAAGTCATTTTCCTTATGATGAATTTGTTAGGAAAATATAACCCAAAAACTGTACGAAAGAACAAAACCCTTAAATTGTTGACTGATGCCTGTGTTTAACATAGTTTCCTTAAAACAAATTCACCCTATATGGGTGTTTGTTTCCCAGGATACAATAGCAAAAAACAATTCTTCTAGAGTGCTCGAACCCTCACTTGGCCCGGATTATACATTAGTTGCAGCAAAAGAGAAGGGATGAAGTAGAAGCATAATAAAGGAAGAGTATTTTGTTTCATTTGGTGTATCCAATCAGTCAAATAGGCATGGTACTTATACTACCAATGTAACTAAAATGAAATTGTAACTGTCATAATTAAATAAGATAATTAATCAAGAAATTAAAACCGAAATCTTTATTAATAGCTCTTAATTCGTTTTTGTAATTGTTAAATAAAAGGAAATAATTTCAAAAAGGTCCTTAAACTTTTTTGGTCGACCAGTGGTGCATTCGTGTCCACATGACACGCTCTCGCACACAAGTTCAGTGGCCCGAAGCCAAAAATCGAGAAAATCCATTTTTGGAAATTAATAAAATTAATTTTCCAACAATCCCCCACATGAATGAAAATTGCTTCAACATCTGCAATTCCAAGCTGCTTTAGGTAAAATCCAGCAGTTGAATCATGCATAGGATAGGTGGGTTTGCCCCCTTTGAACATTCCCTTAAGATGCATATTTATTTTTATAGCAGACCAATAGACTCGATGTCCTTGAACTGTTCTGCCATTTGTGTTAATAATCAATACATGTCTCACATGATTCTCCCTGACCTAGTTAGGTTCTCATTGATGTAACCGTTATGGTTGTGGACACTTATCTGGTTCTGTAAGAGCTCTTAGGAACTTACCCATTCAATTCCCTTTGAAGCGACCCCACTTCTCTCTTTCACATAGGTGACTATATCATAATCATTAAAAGCTAAAGCTTAATGATTTCCAACTTATCATCAACTACTATAAGCTTAACCTACATCATTGTTATTTATAGGAATGGGTTGGGTTTGACCCCCATAGTGATCTGCATATGTTATACGCAAGTAGGTTGTCGCATTGAACCTAGCTCTTGGGATCTCCAGTCAACTAGGTTGGGTTTTCCTTGGCAATAACTTATTTGTTCATGGGTTTTTAATCTCATTCCTTTTCACGATTTTGCAACTAACTCCCTGTTTTACCCTTTGGTTAACGGATCCGCAATGTTATCCTTGGACCTTATGTAGTCAATTAGGATAACTCCAGTTGAGAGTAGTTGTCGAATGGTGTTGTGTCTTCGACGGATATGTCAAGACTTACCATTATACATAGCACGTTGCACCTGTCCAATTCCCAATTGACTATCGCAATGGATTGAGATTGCAGAAACTGGTTTAAGCTATCCTGGTATATCTTCTAGAAATTGTCGTAGCCATTCAGTTTCTTCTCCACATTTATCAAGTGCTATAAATTCTGATTCCATGGTGGATCTAGCTATAACTGTTTGTTTTTAAGATTTCCATGATATATCTCCACCTCCAACTGTGAAAAAAAACCCGCTAGTTGACTTGGAATCTTTAATGTCGAATATCCAATTTGCATCACTATACCCTTCTATCACCTCGGGATATCTTGTATAGTGCAACCCATAATTGTGAGTGTACCTTATGTATTGTAATACTCTTTTAATACTCTTCCAGTGTTCATCACTCGGATTACTGGTATATCTACTTAGTCTACTTATTGCAAAAGCTAAGTCAAGTCTGGTACAACTCATAAGGCACATCAGACTACCAATAATTCTTTCATATTCGACTTGTGCAACTCCTTCACCTCTATTTTTACATAGATGATGACCTGTATCAATTTTTGTCCTAGCTACAGTAGTATCACCAGAGTTGAACTTCTCAAGGATTTTATCCACATAATGTGTCTGATTTAAAGTAAGTCAAATTGCAGTCCTTGTGATCTTCACACCAAGGATGACATCATACAAACCCATATCTTTCATGTTGAATCTTGCCTTTAGCATGTTCTTTGTTGATTGAACCATTTTATCATTGCTAATAACGATAAGCATATCATCATAATAAAGGCACAAGATAGCATAACCCTCACTTGTTTTTTTAACATAAACACACTTATCACATTCATTAATCTTGTATCCATTTTCCAACATCACATGGTCAACCTTTTGATGCCATTTTTTGGGGCTTGTTTCTGAAGGGTTTTGAGAATAACTACAAACCTATATGCTCATGCAACCCTAATTTCTTTGGATCTAGGTTTTCACTAGTTAAACATACAAATTTAAATACCAAAGTTAAAACCCTAGGATCTAGTATATAAATCAAAATTATCACAAAAATAGGGTTTAGATGTTTAGCTTACTTGTTATGTAGTAATAACAAGAACACCTTGAAGATCTTGACTCTTGAAAGTAAGTGCCTCAAATGTGACACCTCTAATGGATTACAAATACTCTTTGCAAGAGGATGTGAGGAGAGAGGAGGGAATGCAACACAGTTTCGGCTAAGGTTAGAAAATAGCAAGCATAGGACAAAACTTCTAAGAGGTGGGGTATTTATATAGTTGAGGGCTGCTCGGGTTTGCTAGAGGAAATCCTAATTTCCTGCTTAAGACTTAAGCAACCCATAGAACCTTATTAATGAGCCTTGGACGAAAACTTATAGGGCCTTCCTATAATTTTCGTCCACTCCTATCTAAGGAGTCCTCTAGCCCAGTTTCACAACTATCAATGATTTGAAAAACAACCCTTATTCTTTTAATTAGTTCCGTTAATCCCAAAATTAATTTAAAATTAATTTCTGATCAAATACTAATTAAATAACATGATTTCTAAATAATATATTATTCTCATAATACATTAATAAATCATTTATCAACCTCTCTCTCTCTCTCTAAAAGTCATCATATCGATTTGCAAGAGTAAATGCAACCTAAAAGGACCATGCTACTATTAAATCAAGTACACACCAATTATAGTTATGGGCTTAAACACCTAATCCAATAGTCTCCCACTTGGAAAATTCTAATAACTATGATTGCAAGTACAACCTCAAAATTTGACTAGCAATCGTAGATCTCAAAAGTCGTTGTCGAACTCTAACCTAGTCAGTTACATGTCCTAAGATAGGGGATCATATACTCCTCCATTCTGCAAGATGTCATGTGAAAAAATGACATAGAATAGAATCATTCTCGTTGTCCACCAGTTTGTTTCCTAATTTATGATTTGTATGACAAGGATCTTAATTTAACATATCAATTCAATCCTAACCGGGCCTGGCACATAATTCAACACAAAATCATCGAGGGGCCAAAGATATCACTTTTATCCCCTTGGAGTAAAAGGAATAGATAAACTTTAACTTATATGCTTGTACTATTTACTCATTAAATCTTTCACAACAATAAATTTTATAACATCAAGTTATTGACGCGTTTACGCACTATTAATGCACATCCAAATCATAAACAACAACTCATATATCTCGGTTTAAGGATTATATGATATTATCGTCTCATAATTACTCGTGATAAATTCCATGAAGTAATTTAATGAGCATGGGTTTAATCCAATACTCAAATCCCCATTTCAGGAGTACTTAGGAATGTGACTCCTCACCAGCAAATGCACACGCCAACAACTCTTTGCTTAGACAACGAACTCAAACTCACCTGTAAAATACATAACACGTTCATCATCGTGGCGGCAGTCGGGTAGTCGGAAACTACAGCGACAGGGAATAGCCGCATGGCGGCGGCTGCAATACATGGGACGACAAAAGAACGAGAGATAGAAGAACTCGTCATTACCAGAGAAGAATGGAGAAGAACAAAGAGCGGGTACAACAATGCTGAGAGTCACCTCGTCTAGCGCTATTCCGATCGTTCACAGCCCGCACAAGTCGTTCACAGCTTAAAATCCGGTCTCGGTGGTCCTTGTCGCTCCCAGCATTTCCGGAAGATGGTGGTCGTTGGTGGCTTCTGACCTCCATGATGATGATGGTGTGGCAATGGGAGTCCAGAGGGGAAAGGTGGTGATCGACGGAGGGGATACAAGGGGGGTTTGCGGCTGCTAAGGCACCTAGGGCTAAGGTTCCTGTAGAATGATGGGTATATATACC